GTGTGAATATTAACAATTGATATTCAAAATTTTTACAACTGAACGTGTCATTTATTTATAATGTTAAGTAATATTTGCATTAAAATATAATTATTAAGAAGAAGGTGTTACTCAAATTTATATTCAATTGATAAGGGACAGTGCCTTATTAACAAGTCACAGTGCTTTATTGACAAGTCACAGTGCCACCATTGACAAGTCATAATGCCACCATTGACAAGTCAGTGTGCCACCATTGATAACTGATAATTCGCCACGGCGTTTGACCATATCTGCCGCGACTCCCCCATCTGTTCCAAGGAGCTGTCATTCTGTGTAAGACGCTGCGGCTCTTGATCATATCTGCCGCGGCACCCAACCCTTTTAAGAAGTTATTCGATAAACAACAAGTCACAGTGCTACCATTGACAAGTCAGTGTGCCACCATTAACAAGTCATAGTGTCACCATTGATAAGTCATAATGCTACCATTGACAAGTCAGTGTGCCACCATTGACAAGTCATAGTGCCACCATTGATAAGTCAGTGTTCCACTATTGACAATTGATAATTCACCGCGGCGTTTGACCATATCCGTCGCAGCTCCCCCATCTGTCCCAAGTAGCTGTCATTCTGTGCAAGGCGCTAAGGCTCTTGATCATATTCGCCGTGGCACCCAACCATTTTAAGAAGTTATTCGGCGAACAACAAGTCACAGTGCTACCATTGACAAGTCAGTGTGCCACTATTGACAAGTCACAGTGCGACCATTGATAAGTCATAGTGTCACCATTGACACTTTATTAATAATGATTATATATGACAATATAACCAAAATATAATATGATAAAGTAATTGAAAATATCATATGATACTAAAACAGGTTAAATAACTTGAATTCATATTGTTGACAACTTATATCAGCAAATTAATTGACAAGTCACAGTGCTCTATTGACAAGTCATAACAGGTCTAATGACAATACAGGGTACAGGTAATGACAACTGAAATGATAGCAGAATCTAATATGCCAATTCATAGCCAACTTTTATTTGTACCTTCATATACATAAAACTACACTTATTTCACAATCCATCCAAAAAAAAAAACATAAGGGTTGCATATAGTTACAAAACTAACTATTGGTGTATATCCATTTACAAAAAATTCTCTTCACACAATTGAGAATTTCAAAAGAAATGAGTTGCTTTTTTTTTTTCCAACAATTGATGATATAATTTCCTTCAATTCTTTATAACTTGTGCCCTCCTTTACATTGGTTGTTCTTACACTTCCTCCCACATATCTCATATCATCTTCTTCATCATTTATAGACTTTCTCCCTATGTGAACAAAGCAAAATAGATGTTTTCTAGACGTACTTGCCATCAGTAACTTAAACCTGCATCAAGAAGCACGCAACTGTCATTGACAACTTAAGGAGCTACATTGACAAGTGTAGCAGCACACATTGACAACAATCGCGGCCTGATTGACAACACAATCCCATTTCGTGCTAAGGGTTTCTACCATCACTAACCTTTATCTTTTTCTTCCTTTGCCAATAAAGTAACGTCAGAACAGAGGAAAACCACCCAAAAACAATCCAAAAACAAAGCACCCATTATCATTCTACACACCCAACTTAAATCACAACACACACCAACCAAAAACACAGCTTTTTCATTCATTAACTTTTGAATCCTAAACCAAAAACAAAAGCTTTGAAATACCATCAGTAACTTAAACCTGTATCAACCAGCACGCAACTGTCATTGACAACTTAAGGAGCTACATTGACAAGTGTGGCGGCACACATTGACAACAATCGCGGTCTGATTGACAACACAATCCCATTTCGTGCTAAGGGTTTCTACCCTCACTAACCTTCATTTTTTTCTTCCTTTGCCACTAAAGTAACGTCAGAACAGAGGAAAACCACCCAAAAACAACCCAAAAACAGAGCACCCATTATCATTCTACACACCCAACTTAAATCACAACACACACCAACTAAAAACACAGCTTTTCCATTCATTAACTTCTGAATCCTAAACCAAAAACAAAAGCTTTGAAATACCCAAGGTAAAAACGATTTTTTGATTTCTCATTCCCAAACAAATCCAGAATCTGTCAAGAAAGGTAGGAGAGGAGAGAAAATTCACACCTCAAGATTTGTGAAGATTCACATGGAAGCACTTTGGAGTTCAATAATGGTAATGGAGAAGATTTTTCATCATAACTGGCTCCTTCTCTCTTTCCCAATGTCTTCTCCCTCAAGCTTCTGCGCAAGAAATCCTCAAAGTTCATTCTCCCGTCTTTTTTTTTTCTGATGGCAGGGGCAAGGCAAAACGGTAATTAGTGGATTCTGAAAATTGCATCTAAGTCCCTTTGGGACTTCAAAAAAATTATCAGATTTCAGGGGACCTATTTGATGTATTTTGTTCTCCATGGGACCTCAATGTCATTTTCCCATAATATTATCCCCAATTCTAAATGTAAAATTTAATTTATAATATAATTTTAAATATAATATTTAGCTTATAGTGCATTAGGTTTAGGATTTAGGTAGAAACAAAATTATGATTTTAAAAGTGTTTTTATGATATATGAAGTAAATATACAGAAGAATTTGTCTCGATTTATAAAAAAAAATATTTTTTTAAAAACACTTCCGGACTAATTCAAACACCCTAGCATAGGAGGTAGCAGCTGGTTTTGGAGATTGTTGGAAGAAAAGAAAGTGGAAAGACTTGTTTGGTTGATATTTAATAGAGAGTAGGGGAGTCCCATCTAATTTTTGAATTTTTTTTTTGGGAGTGAGAAGACATAGAAAATATTTGTTGAGTAAATTACCTTCAGAAAAATATTAAAAAAAAATTACTACCTCCAGCCTTTTATATAAGAGTTAGTTTGATATTCAATTTGGTTCTAAATATAAGATCTAATCTATTTTGTTTCTTATATTTATCTGTTTTTTTAAGATAGTTCTTGTAGTAGTTGCACATACATGTTAAAAGTTTTATCAAATAACAGTTCTAACTTATACGTATGATTAGCAAGTATATTTTAAAGAAAACAACACCTATTTATTATAAATAACTAATTTAACTAATTTTTTTGATTTAGTTAAATTAGTTAGCTGGCTCTTATATTAAAAGCCGGAGATATTAGTGATATCTTCCTCTCTCTTATAATAAAATAAATTTTATCCCCTATTAAAATTCAACATATAATTTTTAATGCATAAAAATGGGTAAATATGCAATTTTAAATTTAAATTTATTTTTCAAGTGTAATTTTACCTATTAAAGTGATGTAATTTTATCCTTGATGTTTTTTTTCTTGCACAATTTTACTGTGAGGAATAAAATTAAGGTTAAAATTACACTTTTATCCTATCAACTTTTACTATCTTTATTAGACACATTGATATACAGTAATATTGATATCTTAGTCCTTAAAAAAATAATATAATGTATGTTGAAAGTATTCATATTCTTAAAATAAGAAATTAATGCTTGTTTGAGTTAAGATCTAAATTAATCTATATGACATAGAATAAAAGAATATAAATTAACATCTAAGGTTAGAATGCTAAATTAACTATCATCACTAGTTCAGAATGGTAAATTAATTATTTTCATTCTTCTCCTTTCCTTTTGAACTGAACAGAAGATTATTAAAATTTTCTTTCTTCTCTTCCTCTCTAACAAATCAAATAATGTAAGATTAAAAACACTCCTAAAGAATAACATAGTTGCATATCTAAAATTCGAATTTGAGATCATTAATTAATTTAGCACATTACATTATTAATCAAACTACACGCTTGCTTGTTTGGACCATTCTTTTTTGACGACATTATCCAATATCTTATATATTATCATCAATAATGATATATATAGACACACACACATATATAACACTATACATTATTTTTATTTGAATTTAATTTGGGTATGTGATAGCATGTGAGAGGATAAGAAAAGGAAAAGAATGATGCACAATAAACAAACAGATCAATGAGAACAAAAGAGGGCTGTCGAATAGAATTTGAAAATAAAAGGAAACAGCCAATAATGACATGACCATTCCCCTCCCAAGGAATATAACAGTATCTAAGAGAAAAAGTGTTTCTCTGCATCCCAACACAAAAGAAAAGGCCTGTTTTACTCACTGTTTATCAATTAATGCACAAAGTTGTCATCAGCAAAATGCAAATCAGCCAAACATCAAAAGGGCAAAAAAATATGATCCCATCACCCCTTTTAATAATAATACACAAAAAAGCAAAGGAGCTTTATCACCAACAGTGAACAGTGAAGCCTTTTCACTTATGATTAGACTTTTTTTTAATACATTCATGCATTTAAAATAATAAGGTTACATTATCGAACTCAAATCGAGTTTTCATTTTTTTTTCTTATTCTTATGTCATTTTAAATATTTGTATACATTTTTGTAAACGCAAAATGGTATCTGTCAATTCATTTGTTTCGTAAAGATATGGAATGTTTCAGATATCAAACTACAATTAAATTCTTTTCCTAAAACAACTCAGCTTACTTTTTCTTTTTTTATTAAAAATATTTTATAATATGATTGTATATAATCCAGATAAAATTTTTTAAAATAAAAAAATTTAAGATGTCAAATTATAAATTGAAATTTGACCTAGTATGCTAGTGACAATTATGTGATAAGTATAAATCAAGAAAATTATATGATCATTGTCTATTAAGAAAAATGAAAAACACTGAATCATTGTCATTTGACCTGAATGTTCTAAATATTAATAATTGTTATTTAATATAACATAATAAAAAGTGAATTTGTGAGGATGGATATCTTAAATTGCTTTATTTTTTCCCCTCACGCGCTTTTAGATCGTCTGGATCTCAACCCCAACAAGACCTGACACAACACCAAACTAATTCTGATCCTGTGGGTGTAAAGTTTATTCTTTTAAATACTTTAACTTCTCACTAGCCTCGTTGCTGCTCTTTTCTCTCTGATATCACTCTCGTAACCTCCCTCGAGCCCATGTCAGTTCATTGTACCCCCATTTTCAGATAGCTTCCTTCTTTTAACCTCCTCTTCCTCTCTCATGCATTTTCACAAACACTTGATCTTCCTTCCTTCTTTCTAACTCTACTTCGTCGGTTCCACCAACCCTCGCACAAAAATTCGCTACCCAATTGAGCAATAAGATTCATATTCTGCTTCTCCTTCCTTCCTCTTCCTCCCCCTCTCCCTCATGGCCCTTGAAACTCTGCTCGTCAAGGTCAAAACCGCGCTTTCAAACAGGTTCGACTCCGTTCGACCCATTTCGGCGTCGTCAAATCCGAAACTGTTGCTGAAGAAATCGTCTTTCAGGTCCAAAAACGTCGGGGTTTTGGCCTTTGAGATTGCCGGCATCATGTCGAAGCTCCTTCACTTATGGCAGTCCCTCTGTGATCCCAACATCATCCGTCTACGAAATGACTCTATTTCACTTGAAGGTGTTCGAAAGATCATCTCAAATGACGAGTCGTTTCTGCTCGGCCTCGCCTGTGCCGAGTTCGCTCACAACCTCAGACTCGTCGCCAACTCCATCGCTAGAATCAGCCGGAGATGCCAAGATTCTAACCTCCGATCGTTCGAACGGTTGTTCCACGAGTTTGCTGACTCAGGTCGCGACCCGCATGGGTGGCTCCTCGCTACCCCGAAGGAAATTGAGGCCAAACACAAGAAAATGGAACGTTATGTGACCATATCGGCGACTCTGTACAGAGAGATGGACGAGCTTTCAGTTTTAGAGAGTTCGCTGAGAAAAACTCTGCATCATAATAACGATAACGAAGCTTCTTCTTCAATCGGCCGGGACCAGAAAATTTACGAGCTTCAGCAGAAGATTTTCTGGCAGAAACAAGAGATAAAGGACTTGAGGGACAGATCTCTATGGAACAGAAGCTTCGATTCCGTCGTTTCATTGCTCGTAAGGTCAAGTTTCACTATTTTAGCAAGGATTAAGCTTGTTTTCGGAATTAGCCATTTCGTCCCCTGTTTATCTCGTAGCCTCTCTGCTTCTGCCGCCGTTTACCCATCCGATCAAAACCCCGCCTTCATTTCTAGCCCATCAACAAAAAACTCCAATCTTGATGATGAAAAGAAAGATTTAGCATCAGGGTTCTTCGAGTCGAACCACAAGCTCCTCAAGCCGCCTGAAACTACATTAGGAGCAGCAGCTCTGGCTCTGCACTATGCGAATTTGATCATAGTGATGGAAAAGATGATAAAATCACCACAATTAGTTGGTGTGGATGCGAGGGATGATTTGTACTCCATGTTACCAAACAGTATCAGATCATCCCTCAGGAGAAGACTGAAAGGAGTTGGGTTCTCGGCAAGCGATCCGATGCTCGCCGGAGAATGGAGGGAGGCGTTGGGGAGGATTCTGGCGTGGTTGTCGCCGTTGGCTCATAATATGATAAAGTGGCAGAGCGAGAGGAGCTTCGAGCAGCAGAACTCGATGCCCAAAACGAACGTTTTGTTGTTGCAGACTCTGTTCTTCGCCAACAAGGAGAAGACAGAAGCCGCCATAACTGAGCTGCTTGTGGGGTTGAATTATATTTGGAGGTTCGAGAGGGAAATGACAGCGAAGGCATTATTTGAGTGTAACAATTTCAATAACAATGGATTGTCGAATCTGCAGTGAGGAAGGAAGAATTAATGCATCTCTCTTTTTTCATAATCCATATTCTGTAATTTTCTTCTTCTCATGAAAAAAGCCTTTATGGAGTTGAAATTAGATGATCCAGCCAAGTTCAGCGCTCAGAGATCATTGAAGGGTTTGTTTTGATAATCTAACCCAGCTATTGTATATGAAAATATTACAGATATATGTAGATGATGATCTGATTTTTCAGTGATTCTCCAATAAAATGTTTGGGGTTTCATGATTCATGCTTTCCAGTTTCCATAATAATCATTTCAAAATTTATTCCTGTGCTTCTGATCTGCTATAATTGATGTGCCACTACTTTCATGTTCATTTATTGTATGCGGTTGGCGTAGTGAAAATGAAACAAAGTGTGCGCACTAGCATTTCACTAATTTAAAAAGATTAAAAAAAATTAATAAATTATTTTAAAATATTTATATTTATTGTTTTTGTTTAAACTAATTTGCTTGACTTATAAATTGATATATGATATAATAATATATATTAGTGTTTTAGAGAAATCACTTAACATATATTATAATTAAATAATTTATTAATATTTTTATTTTTTTTAAATTAGTCAATCAAGTCTTGTGTTAATGACCTAATTTAGTATATACCATGTAGGGTAATGGTATTGGAATGATTTCCCAATATGTGTTTGTATATCCATCCATCTATAATATTTAATTTCATAGTACCTCTGATTTTTAACATAAGAATTAGATAACAAATTTACAGATGTTAAATAAATAAATTAAATTAGTTATTTGTAATAAATAGATATTATTTTTTTTTAAATATCATTCTTAATTATTTATATTAGTTAGAATCATTATTCCATAGAACATTTGACATGTACTAATACTACAAGTACTACTTTTAAAAAAAAAAAGAATATAAATGACAAAGTAAATTACTAAATTATGATATTATATTTAGTAAATTGAATCTCAAACTAGTCTTCCTGTTAACCACTGGAAGTATATATTAAAATATAACTAACCCAAGTGGGGCCTGCTGGTATCTGAGATTTGATTTTGGATCTGTAGTTACGTTGAATTTGTTGCTAGATTGAAATAGATTGAGACGTTTTGCCACACTTGACTCTCACGTTTCAAGTGATCCATATTGCATACAGAGACCATCATGCCAAAAACAGTGATGAGGGAGACAAGTCACCATGGGTTCAGGCGCAAGAAGAAGAAGAAGTCAATTAATTGCAAGATTCTTGATATTTTTATGGTGGTCTTGGGTTTAACTATTGTAAATAGGAGAAAAATATATTCGAAAAGCTTTCTCTAAATGGGATTAGGGTCACTCAACAGTAAACTGATTGTTCCTTTTCTTGGGGTGGAAGAACAAGTCCATTTAAATTCACTCGGCATGCTGTTAAACTCACTAGAAAATGGAGAATTTTAATGACTTCACTTTAAAGAGGATGGGGAGTTGGGCTTAGAGGTAACATGTAAGAATTCTCAACTATACTTGTCTAGTGTGTATTTTTTTTAATTTTAATTTATGAAAATTAAACTCATTAAGGTCTCCACTTTCCTCTGCCTCCTTCCACCGACGTCGGATCAGGTGGATAGGTAAAATCACTTAGAAAGAAATAGCATATAATATACTACTTTCGGTGCTTAATATAATAACTAGTTAACTGATTTGAATAGATTAAAAAAATTAATTAAATTAATTATTTGTAATAAATTAGTGTTGTTTTCTCTAAAATATCCTTTTTAATCATGTTTATTAGCTAGAGCTACCATTTGATGAAATTTTTAACATGCGCACGGCTATAAGGACTACTTTGAAAATAAATAAATATAAGATACAAAATAGATTAAGGTCTTGTATTGAAAACCAAATTGAATTATTAAATTAGCTCTTATATTAAGGATCCAAGATACTATAATTTTGTGTCAATTGTGAGACAAAACCATACTCCATAATCCGTGTTAGAGCGCCACGACCCTAAGTTTTAAATAATTTAAAAATAAATTATTTAAGATGATAATTGAATTATTTAATATATATAGTCCTTTAAGTTTGTCCTCATTTTTTGTTTTTAGTTCCTCAAATTTCAAATTATAAGTTTTGGTCCCTCAAGAGATAAAATAATCTAAATTTTTATTGAATTATAAGGACTAATGTTATAAACGAAAAGAAACTTGAGGGACCAAAACTTATAGTTTGAAACTTGAGAAACTAAAACCAAGATGAAGATAAACTTGAGGGACCAAAGTTTGTACTAATCCATATATATGCATCTTATACTTGTCCTCTATCTCAACTCATGTTTTGGAGCATATGAACAACAAAAACTTGATATTTTTTTTTGAAAGAATTACAATCAAGTCCCATAGAAGAGAAATAATTAGTAAAAGGTCATAATAACAACTTGAGCAGCTTATAATGACAAGTTCTGCAGTGAAAATGACAATCTCTCGGACTTTTTTTTTCAATTGTTTTTTTTTGCTTGAGACCTTATTATAATTTTTCCTAATTTTTTTGTTAATAAAAACTAAATGGCATTACTAAACAAAAGAAACAACAATGCAATTACTACTCTTCATCAAGATTCACCCTATGAAGCCAAAGTGAAGATTAATCAAAGATACAAAATTCTCTTTTAGTGCAAGAGCTTTCGCCAAATAGTCAACAACTGTTAGACGTTTCTTATCATCATGTCTAACTAAAACCTGCAAGTCTATATTAATAACAGTTCAAGTGTACGTTCTGAATAATATCTCTAAAAAGGTACGAGTACACAAATTAATAGTCTCTATATAATCAGATATCACTACAGTCTTCCTGAAGCCTTTGTTCTGATGCAAACCATTGATGATCCCAATTATTTCCACAATTGCAAAACTTGATAATTTTAATCAATGCTTCCATATCAAAAGTCGAGAGCAATTTGGCTACATTGGATATTACACTGAAATTTTAATTATTTTTCTTTTGTTCTTTTACCATAATATTCTTTTTTGGTTGGATATGATGACAAGTCTTCAAAAGGAATTTCAGTTCGCTGTGATCGAAGATTTAATTTGACTGAGAAGGATGATTTTTATTAATCTACTTTCCAAAATCTAAAGAAAGATACATGGTTATGAAAATTGGTATTCACCATAGGCCTGGGAGCAAACTTGCACTGAAATCCAAATAGGAACCCACTTTATATATGTTGCTTATTAAGAGCATCAATTATCAATAATGCATTTTTTACAAATTGATTATATATAATATAAATAAGACTAAAATATACTTTTAGTCTTTTAATTTTATACAATATTTTAATTTAGTCTATTAATTTTTAAAAATATATTTTTAGTCTTTTAACGGTATAACTGCTTGAATGTCAATACAACATTCTCAAATACTAATATATTAAATTTAATTTTTAAAAATAACTATGATTGCGACAGAAAATTATCATTTAAGACTAATAACAATATTAGGGTTAAAGAATTAAAAATATTTTTTTAAAATTAAGGGGCTAAACTAAAACTTTATATAAAAATAATAAAAATAAAGGGCTATAAATAATTTATCTTACTAACGAATATAAATACCTAAGCAATCAAACTATTAGATAGAAAATTTATAATGAAAATAAACTTACATCGAATGAAGTTTAAACCATTTTTTAAAGTCCATGGAAAGAATTTTTTTTTAATGTTTGGAATATGAATGTACCTTTGTGGGACTATTTATACACCATTATTTTATATGTATAAACGAGTATCTAAAAATATTATCCATGAAGGTAAACTTATTTAAATGATAAATAGATGTCAAGATGGCGTCATTTTCCCTCAAGGCATAGGTAACAAAGCTTTTTTTTTTTTTTTGCTAGTTATAGGGAACAAAGTGCCAATTGTCTAGTGTTTACTGAGGCCTTCAAATGGTGACCTGTCATATCGATTTTCCATTAAAAAGGATAAAAATAAGAATGAATAAGCATGAAAGTAATTTTTATTTTAAAATACTACTTCAAGTCTTTAATATAAGAGCTAATTGATTAATTTAAATCGACTAAGAAAGTTAGTTTAAGTTAGTTATTTGTAATAAATAGGTGTTGTTTTTTCTAAAATATCATTGTTAATTAAATATATATTGGTTAGAATTACTATTATTACAAAGACTACCTCAGGAAAAAAAAGTAAATATAAAAGACAAAGTGGATTGGGGTCTTATATTTAAGACTAAAATAAAAATCAAACGAGCTCTTATGTTAATGACTTGAGATAATATAGTGACAAAGCATAATGCCTAATTTTTTAATTAAATTATCTTATGGCATCTAATTAATTAATTAGGACAAAGCCTATCTTCTTCTTCGGCCACCAACATTACATCACTTGTAGTTTCGGTTCAGTTCATCTGCTTTCTTTCATTTATTCCCCATTTGGTAATCGACATACTCACAGAAAAGTATTTTCCTAAAACTATATAAGTATTCTTTACAACTATGCATACATATCCTAATTATTATCGCTATAAGATCGACAGCGTTTAAATAGACTAATCTTTACAAGGCCGAAAGTCTTTAATGTTAAAAACCATTGAAATTTAAACTTGTGTTCTCTTTTTTTTAGAGCTCTCTCTATTTCAATTAACAATTTGTTGGTAACACCACATTTTGAATTTAATAGCAACAGGAGTCCACAAAAAAGACTGGATAGCGCACAATCTTATGAATCATGATATACTCTCCATCCTCATTATAAGAAACAATTACCAAAATCATGTGATTCAGAATATTAATCAAATTTAGTTAAAAGCAGTAAATGCCTAAGATATATGCATATTTTTTCAATTATATTATTGTTTATAAAAAAAAAGTACATAAAAATAATGAGTAAAAATTTATTGAAGAGAGATAATTAATAGCATATATTTAATGGGGATAAAAATAAAAAGACTAGTTTAAAAAAAATTTGTTTATTATATTTAGAAAAACCATTACGAGAGAGATTGTTTCTCGTAAAAAATGGTGGAGAAGGTGCCTTCTTATAATTTGTCAGCATCCAGCTTTCTATTTGGCCACACTCGGCAAGTCAAAGAGAAGCTCATTTGATCTTAAGAGAGGTGAGTCTTGACACCTGCATTTAGTTCGTTCGGGTGTGAGGTCTAAATCTATAACCGGGTGGGGGCCAATTCTAAAACCAAGTTCATTCACACAATCATAGAAACCCCATTCAGTAAAGCCCTTTTCATCTCTCTCCATGA